TGTTGCTCATGACCTGACAAAGTTAGGTCATAAAAGATGATACTGTTTCCACTTGGCTCTCCCTCCTGGGGTGGGTGTGCTTAAAACCCATTCATCATTTTGTCAGACAGCCCAGATCATGTAGGGAGGTTACGTGTGGGTATTCCACCAGATAGCCCCAGCTGATTCCCTGGCTGACAGCCCACATTAACCAGGAGTTACTTGAGCAAGAAAACCTTTGACAGTATTCTAACTCCATACTGTTTAAAGGCAACCACATCCTGAGCCAGAACTGCCTAGGTGAGTCTAGTCAGCCTCCAGAATTATGAGAAGACTAATGAGTATCATTGTAACTGTATAATTTGGGGTGGTATTTTTTGTTTGTTTGTTTGTTTTCTCAGATGGAGTCTCACTCTGTCTCCCAGGCTGGAGTGCAGTGACACAATCTCAGCTCACTGCAACGTACACTTCCTAGGTTCAAGTGATTCTCCTGCCTCAGCCTCCTGAGTAGCTAGGATTATAAGTGTGAGCTACCTCACCTGGTTAATTTTTGTATTTTTAGTAAAGAAAGGGTTCATTATTTTGACCAGGCTTGTCTTGAAATCCTGACCTCGTGATCTCCAAAGTGCTGGGATTACAGGTGTGAGCCACCGCACCTGACCAGTATGTTACACAGCAATAGGTAGCATATACACAAAGTCATCTTCCAATACAAATATGTCAATTCTCCACTTGATACCATTCAATGGTTTAGAATTGAGTGTAAAATAAAGACAAAACACAATTCTGAATCCATCTGACAAGGGATTAATAATTAGAGTATATAATGAGCTTAGGTAAAAACAAAAATAGAACAAAAAGCAAATAATCTGATTTAAAATGGCCAAACGATCAAAATAGACATTTCTCAACAGAAAACATACAAATGGCATCTTTATAAAAAGATGCTCAACATCACTGATAGAAACTACAATGAACTATCATGCAATCCCAGTTAAAATGGCTTATATCCAAATGACAGGCAGTAACGAATGCTAATGAGGATGTGGAGAAAAGGGAACCCTGTTACACTTTTGGTGAGATAGTAAATTAGTGCAACCACTATGGAGAACAGTCCTCAAAAAACTAAAAAGAGCTACTTTATGACACAGTAATTCTACTGCTGGGTATATACCCAAAAGAAAATAAATCAGTATATGAAAGAAATATCTACATTTTTACATTTGCTGCAACATTATTCACAATAGTCAAGATTTGGAGGCAATCTAAGTGTCCATTAACAGGTGAATGGGGCCAGGCGCAGTGGCTCATGCCTGTAATCCCAGCACTTTGGGAAGCCGAGGTGGGTGGATCACAAGGTCAAAAGATTGAGACCACCCTGGTCAACATGGTGAAACGCCGTCTCTACTAAAAATACAAAAAATTAGCTGGGCATGGTGGGACGTGCCTGTAATACCAGCTACTCAGGAGGCTGAGGCAAAAGAATTGCCTGAACCCAGGAGGCAGAGGTTGCGGTGAGCCGAGATCGCGCCATTGCACTCCAGCCTGGGTAACAAGAGCAAAGTACATATACACAATGGAATATTATTCAGCCATGATAATAATAGAATCCTGTTACTTGCAACACCATGAGTAGAACTGGAGATTATTTTATTAACTAAAATAAGTCAGAGAGACAAATTTTGCATGTTCGCAGTCATTTGTGGGTGCTAAAAATTAAAACAATTGAACTCATAAAGATAGAGAGTAGGATGAAGGTTACCAGAGGCTGGAAAGAATAGTGGGCTGGAGGGGGTTCACAGAAATAATTAATGAATACAAAAATACAGTTAGAATGAATAAGATGTAGTACTTGGTAGTACAAAAGAGTGACAATGGTAAACAATAATTTACTTATTTAAAAATAGCTAAAAGGGACCAGGTGTGGTGGCTTATGCTTGCAATCCCAGAACTTTGGAAGGCCAAGGCAGGAGGATCACCTGCCAGGAGTTTGAAACCAGCCTAACTAACATAGCAAAACCCTGTCTCTACTTAAAATACAAAAATTAGTCTCAGCTACTCAGGAGGAGGCTGAGGCAGGAGAATAATTTCAACCCTGGGGACAGACATTGCAGTGCGATGAGATTGGAACACTGCACTCCAGCCAGGGAGAAAGAGCTACACTCCAGTGCAAAAAAAAAAAAAAAAAAAAAAGAAAGAAAGAAAGAAAGAAAAAGAAAAAAGGAAAAGAACATAACTGAATTGCTTGTTAAATAAAGAAGTAAAATAAATGCTTAAGATGAGGAGTATCCGATTTACCCTGATGTGATTATTACACATTGCATGCCTGTATCCACTAGGAAGCAGAGGCTGGTCCTGGAAGGGCCTACCACAGGCAGGAGCCAGGCCTGGACAAACCCACAAGAGGAGGCTTTGGGCCTGGAGAGGCCACTTTCAGGCAGGAGCTGGGCCTGGAGAGGCCGACTTCAGGACCATTTGGGCCTGCCCAGGCCACTGGAGAAAGGCTGGAGCCAAGCCAAGAGAAGCCAACTTGTGGAAGTTTGGGGCAAGAGCTGAGCCTGGGGAGGCAACCATGAGCCTTTCAGGCCTATGGAGGACATCAGAAGCTGGGCAGGAGCTGAGTCCACAAAGGATGTTGGGAGGCAGGAGCTGGGCCCAATGAGGTCATTGAGAGACAGAAGCTCACCCTGGAGGGGCCAAAGTGAGGAGGTTTTGCAACCAGAGAGGCCACCAGGATGGCAGGACCTGGGCCAAAATTGGCCAACTTTAGGAACATGTAAACCTCTGAGGCCACCAGGAGGAAGCTGGAGCCAGGCGAATAGAAGCTGACTTGAGCATATTTGGGTCCTCGAGATGCATTCAGAGGGCAGGAGCTGATCTTGGAGATGCCATTATGAGGCATGAGCTGTGTGGGCCTGGAGAGCTTGATTTCAGGACCTTTCAGGTCTACAAATGCCACAAGGAGCCAAGTTCACAGAGGTTGTTGCAGGGCAGGTGGGGGGCCTGTAGATGAAGCCATGAGGAAAAGCTTGCCCAGCAGAAAGCAGTACCTGGGCCTGGAGAGGCCACAAAGGAATGAGCTTATGAGCTGGGCTTGGAGAGGCCACCAAAAGCTTCCAAGTAGCGGGCGTGCAGGCCTAAATCATCTAGTGAGGAACAAGCTGGGCCTGCAGAGGATGCCGAAAAACAGGAGCCTCCATCAGCCTGGGGAGGCCATGGTGAGGCATGACATGTGCCTAAAGAGGCCATCAGAGAGCCAGGAGCTGCCATGAGGCAGGCACGCAGGCAGGCAGAAATGGCCTGGGGAGGCCAACATCAAGGGTAAGAGCTGGGCCTACCTGTTGGTAGGCAGGAGGTGGGTCTGTCCAGGCCACTGGGAGGCCAAAGGTGGGCCTGGAAAGCCCAACTTGAGGAAGGCTGGAGCCTACACAGACTGCTAGAAGCTGAGCAGGAGCTGGGCCAAATGTTGTTGTGAGGCAGGAGTTGGGCCTGTAGATGCAGCCAGGAGGAAGAGCTGAGACCAGAGAGGCTGAAAATGTTCTGAGCTGAAATAGGAAGCCAAAAAGCCAATGCTTGGCCTGGAAAGGTGTCTACCACAGGCAGGAGCCGGACCTGGAGAGTTACACGAGAGGACTAGTGCAAAGACACATGTACACATATGTTCATTGCAGCACTGTTTACAATAGCAAAGACTTGGAACCAACCCAAATGCCAATTAATAATAATAGACTGAATAAAGAATATGTGGCACATATACACTATGGGATAGTATGCAGTCTTAAGAAAGGGTGAGTTCATGTCCTTTGCAGGGACATGGATGAATCTGGAAACCATCATTCTCGGCAAATTGACACAAGGAAAGAAAACCAACCACCACATGTTCTGTCCTAAGTAGGTGTTGAAGAATGAGAACACATGAACACAAGAGAGGGGAACATCACACACTGGGGTCTGTTGGGGGGTGTGGGACTAAGGAAGGGATAGTTGGGGGTGGAGAGGTTGGGAAGGTATAACATTAAAAGATGTAGGTAATGGGGACATGGAGGCATCAAACCACCATGGCATGTGTGTACCTATGCAACAATCCTGCAACATTTGCACACGTACCCCATAACTTAAAGTGTAATAAAATTTTTTAAAAAAGAAAACAGGCTCCAAGGTAGTGACTAAACAATAATTTGTAATGAAACAGACTAAGGCACAAATGAGTCAATAAAATTAAGAAATAATAAAGCAGGCTTTAAAGTAGTGAACTAAACAATATGTAATCAAAAATAACAATCATATATAAATGATTCAATAAAGTATACAATTTTTTTCAGATAGAGTCTCACTCTGTTGCCAAGACTGAAGTGCAGTGTTGTGATGTCAGCTTTCTGCAATCTTCACGTCCCACACTAAAGCCATCTTCTTACTTCAGCCTCCTGAGTAACTGGAACTATATGCATCCACCACTGTGCCTAATTTGTATTTTTTTGTAGAGATGGGGTTTCAACATGTTGTCCAGGCTGGTCTCTAACTCGGACTCAAGCGGTCCACCTGCTTTGACCTCCCAAAGTGCTGCAACAGAGCAAGCCACAAGGGCACAAATACTTCCGTGAGAATAGTCGGAGCTCCTCCTCCTCCATCAGCTTCTGACTGAAGGCTGCTGGCCCTGGCTGATGCCTGTTACCCACAAAGCCACCTATGTCACCTGGTTACCAGGAAACAACAAAGTCAGGCCAGTGGCTCACAATGCTACTTCCCACAACCCCACCCAAAGGCTCACAATGCCCATCCCTGCTGCTGGCCATCTGTGGCCACCCTGCCCCTCTCGGTGACTGCATTATTCATCCTGAGTGGCCTGAGATACTCCATTTTTCACCATAGGCCTCAAAAAACCCAGAAATGTCCCTTCATAGATTCTATATATAGAGTGTATCTAGCCTGTGAATAAAAACAAAGGTTTCATTCGGCATGATAAATTCACAAACACACAGCATTTTCACAGAATCCTTTGGGGCCCACCTCTCACTCCTGTTCTTGGTTATTTGGGCTTCTGTCTTGTATGCTCTGTCAAGTTCTAGGCCTTGTAAGGGTGAGTTCCATGTCTCCACTCATTTATATGTGCCCAGGACGGTTGGCTCTTGGGAGGGTCTTCATGACTGAGGCCATGGATCCTTCGCACTGTCCCTTGAATCCACTTGACACAAAATACTCATCCTGCAATGATACTTTGAAAGTGATGCTTCCATTCAATTAGGGGCCAACTGTATTACGGATCCCTAGTACCCAATACATGGCATATAAGAAATGAATGAAAAATGAGTGAATGAACTCAAGTGTGCCTACAAGGTGAGAGAAAAATGGTCCTACTTACTAGGTGTGCTACGAAGGCATCTGGGACCATTGGCTTTGCTATTTCATAGTAGGCTTGGGGCTTTGAAGGCTGGTATTTCCTCATTCTAAACCTCAAATTCCAATAAATTACCACCAAGTGGACAAAGGTCCATGGGCCAGAGCTCCAACATATCTTTTGTGGGTGTGATTAATGGACAGGGACTATACAAAACTAAAAACAATGTTTGTGTGCTGACTACCTGCAAGCCATGGTGATAAAACACTCTGTATACACGATCTTATTCAATGCTTGTTACAAATCCATGAAGTGGATTTTTACACAAACTTTCTATTCGAGCTTTTTGGAACAAGAGGCTAGTGTGGTGACTTTCACCTACTCGGCAGCAGATTCAGATACTTGTTATCTGATGGCCAATCTCGTTACATGTATACTCCTACATGCTTCTCCTCCCCCTCTCAGGATTTTATAGCAAATCCCACACATCATATAATTTCCTCCCTGACTCTCTTGGTATATGTCTGTAAAAGATACAATTCTTGTTTGTTCTTTCAAGACAAGGTCTCTGTCAACCAGGCTGAAGTTCAGTGGCATGATCTTGGTTCACTGTGGCCTCTCCTGCCTCAGCTTCCTGAGTAGCTGCAACCAAGCTAATTTTTTAATTTGTATTTTAGTAGACACAGGGTCTTGCTATGTTGCCCAGGCTGGTCTAGAATTCCTGGATTCAAAGGATCTTCCCATCTTGACCTCCGACACTACTGAGATTATAGGTGTGAAGCGCCGTGCCCGGAGACAAGAACTCTTTAAAAAATATAATAATCCCAATACCATCATCAACCATCTCACACCATTGCTCTTTATCACTGTCAACTCTCCTTCTAGCTCCAAATTTCCAGTCATTTCATGTATTTATTGTGTGAATCAGGATCCAAATAAAGTCTCTCCTTGGGATTGTTTGATTCACCTCTTAGGATTTTCTTGATCCTGACCAACTTCCCACTTTGATCTCTGTGCTGTCCCTTGTAGTCCATTTATTGAATAAATCAGGTCATTTCCCCATAGTTTGGATTACGCTAAGTGTGTTACGCTAAGGCCAGCCCTGCTCAGACACATTCACTGGCTTGGACGTCCCCACCTTAGCCTGGGAATCCATGCAGGGTCCCCCTCTGAGCAGATAACCTGATTTTCTAACTCTCTCTGCCCTTCCCAGCTCATGTGTGAATCCCTGGGCTATGCAGCAGCCACACCCACCAGGCCCTTAGGGCACTGGAGTTTCACCCACCTCCCCAGGGGCAGGACACCAATCAGCTTCCGAACCTCCAGCAGCTGCTCAGAGTCTAGGGTCAGCACCATGGCACCATTGTGGAAAGCCAGGGGCAGGAGGGTCAGGACAGCCAGGGTCCTCCCATCCAGTACAGCCCCAGCAACTCACCCAGCTCACCTCAGAATCCAGTGGCTCCAGTGATGGGGCTGGGCCCTCTGCAGGTGGGTGTAACCTAGGAAGAGGATGTCATGTTCCCTGTGGGAGAGGAGGAGCAGGGGCTTAGGTGGAGGCCAGGTCAAGGCCTGCCAGTGACACTGGGACACTGCAGGCCTGGGTCACCCCAGGAAAAAGTGTTATGAGGGATCCAGGATCTCCCAGGGACAAATTGCTCTCAAGGGAAAAAGAGGACGAAATGGGGCCATGTGAACCATGGACTGGGCCTGAGCTGTGGGGCTCCTGGGGTGAGGCTTTGCCAGGAACACCCAAAGCCTGAGCCTCTATCACTCAGCATCTCCCAGCCGGGGCTAGAAAAGGGGAGGAGGCACATGTTGGGTATGACTTGGGTATGACTTGGGAGGTTTCATTTGAGGACCCCAGAAATAACTGGGGCTCATAAAGTGCTACTCGGAGCAGGTGGGATACCCTGCCCCTCATTCAAGTTACTAATTTTTCATACTTTTAATAGAAACAGGGGTTCATCATGTTGGCCAGGCTGGTCTCAAGCTCCTGACCTCAGATGATCCACCCACCTTGGCCTCCCAAAGTGCTGGGATTACAGGCATGAACCACTTCGTCCAGCCTGTTGTTGTTTTAAATAAACCAACTTTGCTGAGATATCACTCACACTTTAGTGCACACCACCCATCACCGATTTTAGAGCATTTTCGTCACCCCCTAAGGAAATTCTGTACTCAAGGCCAGGTACGGTGGCTCAAGCCTGTAATTCCAGCACTTTGGGAGGCCAAGATGGTAGGATCACTTGAGGCTGGGACTTCAACCAGACCGCACCACATAGTGAAAACCCGTTACTACAAAAAAAATGTAGAAACTTTGCAGGGTGTGGTGCACACCTGCGGTCTTACCTACTCAGAAAGCTGAGGTGGGAAGATCATTTGAGTCCAGGAGTTTAAGGCTGCAGTGAACTATTACTGAGCCACTGCACTCCAGCCTAGGTGACAGAGCAAGAGCTCATCTCTAAAGACAAACAGAGAAAATTTGGCCGGGTGTGGTTGCTCACGCCTGTAATGCCAGCACTTTGGGAGGTCAACGTGGATGGACCACAAGATCAGGAGATTGAGAACATCCTGGCCACATGTGGCACATACCTGTAGTTCCAGCTACTGTGGAGACTGAGGCAGGAGAATTGCTTGAATCTGGGAGGCAGAGGTTGCACTGAGCCGAGTGCCATTGCACTTCAGCCTGGGTGACAAGAGCAAAACTCTATCTCAAAAAAAAAAAAAGTTAAAAATTTTAAAATTAGGCTGGATGCAGTGGCTTATGCCTATAATCCCAGCACTCTGGCAGGCTGAGGTGGGCAGATCACCTGAGCTCAGGAGTTCAAGAGATCAGCCTGGCCAACATGGTAAAATCCATCTCTACTGAAAAAAATACAAAAATTAGCTGCATGTGGTACACATACCTGTAATCCCAGCTACTTGGGAGGCTGAGGTAGGAGAATCACTTGATCCAGGGAGGCAAAGTTTGCAGGTAGGAGAGATCCCACCACTGCACTCCAGACTAGGTGATAGAGCAAGACCCTGTCTCAAAAAAAAAAAAAGTAAATGAAAGAAACCCTGAGTTCTGTAGTTCCTCCTAGCAGCCTTGCGCCACCTCCATGGTCACAATTGTGTGCCCTTATTTCCCTCCCAGTCTGAGAAACAAGGGTCACAGGGAGCTGACCAAGAGGAGGGGTCTCTGACAACACGTGGAGACTCCCCAGCAGCTCCTCCTCCAGGTCTACAAGGAACAAATCCAGACCCAAAGACACCAGGTCCCAGAAGCCAAAGCCTGGGAATGAGGCCAGCAGGAGGCAGCCTTTGCCTCTGCCTTTCACCAGATGGGCTGGGTGGGGACACATAATGCGGGAGACGTGGGACACAGGCAGAGTGGGGAGAGACTCTTGCTGCTCCAGGCACAGCCAAGCTAGTGCCTTAGTTTCCTTCCCTCAAATCTGCAAAGGATGAGTTCTCTTCCTTTTTATTTTTTAGTTTTTGAGGTGGAGTCTCACTCTGTCTCCTAGGCCGAAGTGCAGTGATGCAATCACAGCTCACTGCAATCTCCGCCTTTTGGGTGCCTCAGCCTCCCAAGTAGCTGTGATTACAGGTGCACACCACCACGTCTGGCTAATTTTTGTATTTTTATTAGAGACAGGGTTTCACCATGTTAGCCAGGCTGGTCGTGAACTCCTGACCTCAGGTGATCCACCGGCCTCTGCCTCCCAAAGTGCTGGAATTACAGTCAGGAGCCACCACACCAGGCCCCACGAAGGGTGACTCTTCCCTGCCTGATAAGCTAGACTGCCATGGGAGTATTGGGGACTGCAGGAAATGCCCCACTCCTGGCTGTTCTGCCTCAATCTCGGCGTTCTGTAATACCCGTCCCCCAGGGCCTGGCATCTCCACCCTGTTTGTCCCTGCCACCTAGTCTGCTGTTCAGGATGCCATCACACCTCTCTCTAACCCCTGGGTGTGCCTTGGGACTCACACCTCTGTGGGATCCACCATGGTCCTGATGGGCTCCCACAAGAGGCCGGAGAGCATCGAGCAGGTCTGCCACATCCATAGTCTAACCATGACCACCTGTGCAAGCAGGAGGTGATGCTCAGGGAGGCTGATGAGCTGCTTCCCTGGGGAGCCAGGACCCTGCTGAGCTCTAACTGCCCCCTGGGCTCCCCAACATTGGGACAGCAAAAAGCAGGGGGTTGGAGGGGCTAGAGGCACCTGGTCATTCCAGCTGCATCCCGTGTGCAGCTTCCCAGCAGTTTTGCTAATGAGCTCTTGGAAGTGAAGGGAGGCCCAGGGTCACAGTCTAGATGCCCAGAGGAGTCAATCCAGGCAGGGCAGCTTTCATCAGCCCTTCCAACCTCCCTCCCTACCCAAGGGCCCCAGGTCTTGCCCAAATCTCTCACCAATTCTGCTTAGCCCTGTTGTTCATTTTTTTCTTTCAATTTTTTGTAGTTATGAAACCTTGTTATGTTGCCCATGCAAACTCTTGGCCTCAAGTGATCCTTCCACCAGAGCCTCCCAAAGTGCTAGGATTATAGGCATAAGCCACTGCAACTGGCCTGAGATCATCACTGCTGTCTGCCAATGGTGAAGTAAATGGAACAATGGTGCTAATGCTCCAAGTGGCCCAGGGCCAGGTGAAGACGGGAGGCCAGGAAAGCAGTGGGGCTGCAGGGATCTTACCTTCAGGTGGTGCTCGCTGGCTGTGTGGATGTCCTCATCATTGGGGTTGAGTCTGAAGGTGCCCTAGGCCCACTTCTCAGTCACCTATAGCAGGTGGCAGTAACGCTGGGGGGCAGGCGAACAGGTATCAGGAGTCAGGAGAGCCCCTGCCCTGGTCCCACCCTATCCCTAATGGCTGACTGTCCCTGTCTAGGGGCTGAGTCCTGAAAGCACACCTTGGGAAGGGGCATCTGGGGTGGGGACATCTTCACTCATGAGACATGTGGGCATCAGGGGTCATTAAAGGATGGAGAGAGGCACACAGTTAAACAGCACTTGAGTATTTAATTAGTTCAACATGAAACCACAGACTGGCAACACTGCACTATTTGCTGGGATTTGGTGGGAGCCTGGGGCCACAGGGAGGGGCCTTGGGCCACAGGGAGTACCTGGTAAGCTGCCTGTTCCTTGAGCACAATGTGTACCAAGGGGAGCTGGAGTGAGGGTAGCTCCATGGGAAAGGGACAGGATTGCCACCCTGAGCTGTGTGACCATAGGCAAGAAGACCCCTCTTCTCCAAATGAGGTCAACCACACAGGTGATTTTGGGAGCCGGTGCCCGCTCAGACAGTCTGGATTTGAGCTTTGTAGGTGGATGGGAACCTGGGAGGGTTTAGAGATGCTGGGAGAACCTTTTTCCTGGGAGAGCTTTCCAAACAGGGAACAAACAGAGCCACCCTGGGCCCCGCTGAGAAAGGATCCTACTGGAAGCTCTCGCCACTGTCTTGCTCCACGCTGGTGGTGATGGTGATGGTGATGTCATCAATGCAGGTGGTGAGTGTCGTGAACAGAAGCACAGACCGCTGCAGTCCCGCCGGGTGTTGTGGACAAAGTAACCCTTGGGATATCCAGGGTGGGAGACCTGTGGTTTGCTGGACCCCTGCTGTGGGTTGTTTAACCTCAGCCCACATGTCTGTGGCCTCCCCAGATCCAGGCCCGTCCATTCTGTGAAGGCAAATCTGTCCCTAGCAGGAAGACTATGGGGTGGGGTGGGGAGGTGGGGCATGTGGTGGAGGCAGGATGGTAGCCACTTGCAGGTGTCAGTCATGTAGCAGATGATCCCTGGTGGCTGGATGGAGGGAGTGTGTCGTTGATGGCAATAGTGACGGGGAGGTGGGAGGGCAGGGGCCCCACCTGGACCAGGCTGCTGATGTTGGCCTTGAAGGGGAGGTAAACCCCCATGCTCTAGCACATCGACCCCGTTCACCCATCACAGACACTGGAGATATGGGGAGGGGGTGGCAGGTCAGTGCATGAGGAGGGGCCATGTTATTGGGCACTCCCTCATAACTTGCAGCATAGAGCTGAGGCCTGCCAGCCCAGACGGGAAGAATGGCATCCCAATGGGGTAGACTAGGTCACCTATCCCCCTACACAGGGAACAGCCTCCAGAGCAGAGCAAGGAAGGGCCCCTCACCGTTCCAACCCAGGAGACAGGCTGTGGGTGGCACCTGGGACTCCCATGCTGTTCAGCAGCCACACCCACCCACCTGCCCTACGTGCTCCTGGCTGCACTCACCAGAATGGCATAGGAGTGGGCACTGCCAATCCTCAGCACCACTCTTCTCTGCAGGTCCTGGGTCCACCACTCTGGCAAGGTCACATCCCATTTGTGCCACACCCAGCTGACAAAAATGCCATAGCCGCGAGTCCTGGCAGATGTTCTTGAAGCTGGAGAGAACCTGCATGTCCAGGGTGGGGCCAAACTGTGGAGAGAAGGGTGGAGCTCAGCTCCTAGGCCCCCAAACAGATCTGGGACCAAGTTACATTCCTGGCTTCTTTGCAGAGCTCCCCATCCTCAGGTCCAGCTCTGTGCAGCCCAAGAGGCTCTGGCCCGACTACTGGGAGGAGTGTTTGGGTGGCTCATGCCGGTAATCAGTGCTTTGGAAGGTCAACATAAAACGATGGCTTGAGGCCAGGAGTTCGAAACCAGCCTGGGCAAAGTAGTGAGACCCTATATCTAAAAGAAAAATTTTTTTTAATTAGCCAGGCGTGGAGCCCCCTAGCTAACTTGCAAGGCTGCGGCAGGAGGATCGCTTGAGCTCAGAAGTTAGGATTGCGCCACTGCGCTCCAGCCTGGGCAACAGGGCCAAGCCCAGTCTCAAAAAATATTTTAAAAATTAAAAACAAACATTAAAAAAAAGGACACTGCCCGGGCTCAGCCTTCGCCTCGGGAGGGGGCTCGGCAGGGGCGCTTCCTCCTCCTCCGCAGCAGTCCTCCTGGGTCCCCTCCCTGCCCCACTCCTCCAACCCAGCGCTCCCAAGCCCACTCCCCCAACCCCCGGGCGACAAGGGAAAGGAGCCTGCGAGGCGGCCCGGGCTCCCCTACTCCCTCCGCCCGGCTTCTGTGTGCCTCTCGGCCCTGCCCTAAGTACCGCAGCAGCGGCCGCTACCACCGCTCCTGGAAGCCCCGGCGCCGGTCGTCGGAGAAGTCGGCGCGGAAGCTCCAGGGGCTGTCCAGCTCCTTGCACTTCCATGACGGGCTCTCCCGGGGGTACAGCATCCCGCCCTGCAGCACCACCGTGCAGCCACACAACAGCCCTGGCGCTGCCTAAACCACCGCGGACCCCAAAGTCAGGCTTTCCGCTCTGCTGCTCGGCTTCTGGCTGCGGGGATAAAAGAAGCGCGGGAGGAGGCCGGCGGGCACGTCGCTTGACGTACTGAGGCCGTCGGCGCCATTTTGGTTGAGGGCGAGTGCCAGGTCTGGAGGGGAGGGGGAGCCGGGAGCTGCTGGGTGGTGCCAGGGACTGGGAACCGCGGGCTAGGCGAAATGGGACACTCACACTCAAACCCAGTCAAGAAGGGCAAGGTCTTCCCACCCCGACCCAGGCTGGACGATCCAGGGCGGCAGGCCAGGACAGAACCCCTGAGATGTGAGATTCCCTATTTTCTTCAAGGAGCACCTCCACTTGCTTTCCCCAGCGTAACTCCTCTGAGCAGGACCCAAGGGAACCTCTTCCATGCCTGCCAGGTGCATCGGTGGCCCTCGCCTGTAATCCCAGAATTTTGGGAGGCAGTGGTTGGTGGATCACTTGAGGCCAGTCTGGCCAACATGGCGAAAACCATCTCTACTAAAAAAAATCAATAAATAGCTGGGTGTCCTGGCGGGCACCTGTAATCCCAGCTAGTAGAGAGGCTGAGGCTGGAGAATCGCTTGAACCTGGGAGGCGAAGGTTGCAGTGAGCCAAGATCATGCCATTGCACTCCAGCCTGGCAAAAAAAAGGCCGGGGCCGCGGCTCAAGCCTGTAATACCAGCAGTTTGGGAGATTGAAGTGGGCAGATCACTTGAGGTCAGGAGTTTGAGACCAACCTGGTCAACATGGAGAAACCCTATTCCCACTAAAAATACAAAAATTAGCCAGGTGAGGTAGTGGTCTCAGACCAGCTACTCAGAAGGCTGAGGCAGGAGAATTGCTTGAACCTGAGAGGCGGCCATTGCCATGAACTGAGATGGTGCCACTGTGCACCAGTCTGGGTGATAGAGTGAGATGCCATCTCAAAAAAAATGTTTACTGAAAACCTTTAGAACAGGAAGGAAAGGAAAGGAAAGAAGGATAGTACAACTTGGAAGAGGGCCAAGTGTGTGACCTGAGAAACCAAGTGCCCTGCTAGACCTCTTGACTTGGGGTTTCATAAGCTGGCATCCTTCTGGGGTCTTGCCACTCCTGATTCCTTAGCTTGGGGCTGAGAACACACGTTCTTCTTAGACCAGTCATTCTCAGGGAACACATCAGTTATGGCTGTTGGGTGCCCCTGCCATACAGAGGGGCCCCTTGGGTCCTAGGACCACCACCTGGACTCAATTGTTTGTATAATTCCTCCCCACCCCCTGTCTGATGCTTGCCCAGTCTTCTGAAAATGGACCTTAACACTGGAAATGGAGTCCCCAGTGTAGTGAAATAAATACATTCTAGGAACTGACAAGGCCTAAAGGCTTTTTCACAAAGGTTTATGCTCTTTTTTCCTTATTTTCTTTAATTTTACTTTTACATTACCTTAGCAAAAGGTTTACACACTTAAATTAGGATACATTTCACTGTTTATGAGGCAGGTTTAGGCCAAATTTAACAAAAGTAATCCCAGCAACAGGGGAGGCTGAAGCAGGAGAATCACTTGAACTCAAGAGGCAGAGGTTGCAGTGAGCTGAGATCATGCCACTGCACTCCAGCCTGGGCGACAGAGTGAGACTCCAACTCAACTCAAAAGGGAGAAACATATATTTATATATGTATAATGTTTATGTTATATGAAAATATGACATTTCTATTTATAAAACAATCTACATATTTAATACATTAATTCATTAAATATATATTTTATATACATTATATATACACATATAAAAAGGAATTTATTATGGGAAGTAGAATTTATTATGGGAAGGTCCTCTCCTGAGAGGCAGAAACTGTTGCCTCCACCACAACTTCTCTCTTGGCTCATTCCAAGCTTGGCCAAATTAGGGAAGTGAGTGGAGGTTGCTCTGCATGCCCCCTCCTCTGCCTAAGTGTGTTTTTGTAACATCAGCTGGCATCACACAAAGGGCAGGAGAAGCAAACACCCAGAACTCTTTTGCTGGTCAGAGATTCCCTGAGTGTCTGTCCTCACCCAAGCCTGCTCTGTGTGTCTGTGTTGTGAAGCTTGAGTCTTTGGAAAGAAATCGGAAGGGGGGCGGGGTGGCAAAAATGTTACCATTCCTCTGTTCTTGTAGGGTCCTGTTTTGGGGGAGGGTGGGGGTTGGGGGAAGTGTGACCTTGTGTCTTTGTCAATAAACTCATTTACACAAAATTTTTAAAAAAAGGAATTTATTTCTTTGCTGTTCTGACACTTCCCTGGTCTTCTTTTCCCTGTTGGTTCTGGTCTTGTCTCTGATTCCTGGAGGTAGCCAGCCTCTAAATCCATGGAATTTCTTGAATGACAGGTGTGCCTGTTACTCATAGTGGCCACCCCAGGGTCACAACTGAGTGCATGCTAACCAGATGACTTGGCCAGGGGGCAACCACACCAGAAAGACCAACCATGTGATTTGAAGGTTGTGATGTTGAGCCACATAATGTCAGCCCGACCTCCAGAAAGGAACTGTGGGGCTGGAGATGGACTCAATTGCCTGGCCAATGATTGCATAAACCCACCTGCTGTGATAAAACCCCTGGACATGGAAGCTAAGGTGACATCAGTATGCTGAGAGGATGATGCATCCTGAGGACACAGAAATGTCATCTTCAGGACTCTCTCGGAGTTTATACTACGTGTCTCTGCTTTTGACTGGTGTTACTTTTGTCAGTTTTTCTTATATAAAATTGTAATGGAAATATCATGCTCAGCTGGGCACAGAAGCTCATGCCTGTATCCCAGCACTTTGGAAAGTTGAGGCAGGCAGATCACTTGTGTTTGGGAGTTCAAGACCAACCTGGCCAACACAGCGAAACCCTACCAAAAATACAAAAATTAGCCAGGTATGATGGCACTCACCTGTAATCCCAGCTACTAGGGAGACTGAGGCAAAGAGAATCATTTGAACCTGGGAGTCAGAGGTTGCAGTAAGCTGAGATTGTGCCATTGTACTTTTGCTTAACAGTGAGACTTCATCTAACAAAAAAGTATCTTGCTTTTCTGAGTTCTTTGAGTTGTTATAAATTATCAAACCAGAGGACACTGTGGGAACCTCTGAATTAATTTGTAGCCAGTTGGTGAGAAGTACATGTGATCTGAGCACACCCAAACTTGCAGCTTGCATCTAATGTGAAGGCAGCCTAGTGGGGGTTTGTGGCCTTAACTTGTGGCATTTGATGTTAACATCAGGGAGTTGACATCAGAATTGTCATACAGGACAGCTGTGATGGCTCATGCTTGTAATCCCAGCACTTCAGGAAGCAAGGTAAGAGGATCACTTGAACTTGAGTCTGGGGCTACAGTGAGCTACCACACCACTGCAGCCCAGCATAGGTGACAGAGCAAGACCCCAACTCCAAAAATAAAAAAAATTGCATGGCACAGTGCCTGTCTTTAATGGCTCAAATGTTGCAGAAACTTTTTTTTTTCTTTGGAAAGCAGAGTCTCGCTCTGACACCCAGGCTGGAGTGCAGAGGCACAATCTCTGCTCACTGCTACCTCCAATTTCCAGGGTCAAGTGATTTCTCCTGCCTTGGCCTCCCGAATAGCTAGTGGCCACCACCATTCCTGGCTAATTTTTGTGTTTTTAGTGGAGATGGGCTTTCACCATGTTGGCCAGGCTGGTCTGGAACTCCTGCTGGGATCCCAGGTGTGAGCCACTTTAGAAACGCTAGAAAATAAAAACCTTTAGAGTATTTTTACCACCTGGTTTTCTTCTCTCAATGTCTTTCTCTCATTTCCTGCTTTAAATCTCTAGCTTAGGGGCTGGGCATGGTAGCTCATGCCTGTAATCCCAGCAATTTGAAAGGCCAGGGTGGACGGATCACTTGAGGTCAAGAGTTTGAGTTCAGCCTGGCTAATATGGTGCAACCCTGTCTCTATTAAAATACAAACATTACACCTCACTGTGGTGGCACACACCTGTAGTCCCAGCTTCTTGGGATGCTGTGGCAGAAGAATGGTTAGAACACAGGAGGTGGAGGTTGCAGTAAGCCAAGACTGCACTACTGTACTTGATCCTGAGCGACAGAGCGAGACTACAAAATAAACAAAAATCTCTAAGCTTGGGATTGGCCTTCTCTATTTTTTTTCTTTTTAAAAAATAGATGTAGATGCTATGTTGCCCAGGTTGGTCTCAAACTCCTGGTGTCAAGTGATCCTCCTGCCATGACTTTAAAAGTGCTGGGATTATACATGTGAGCATTGAGCACAGCTTTATTTTTTTCTACATGAAAAATAACGGGATTATCTTCCAGAGCTAATAAATATGTTCAAATAACCAAATATTTGGACATTTTTCCAAATAACATTAAGGAAAAATGTCACTTGATAGGAAATAAGCAATCCAGAGCAAGATGATTGCACTCTATAAAGGTGAAAAAACTTCATCTTTATTACATTTCCCCAATACATGCACTGCTCTGTTCTCTTGAAAACACACAGTGCATGTCCTCCTTTAAAACATACATCCTCTTTAACATACAAACATGTCAATATGAGGTAAAAAATCATGTCTGAATTCTCACATTTCAAAAACATACACATCAAATAAAAATTTATTTTTACAGGAATTTAGGGGAACTACCATGTAGCTATAAAGGTAATATACTAAGTAAGTATCAGAGAAAAAAAGTGTCATCCCTTCACCACCACATGTAATAATACATACAAAGATTTAAAGATAAAATACTTAGGATAAAAATAATCCTCTCTTAAAAGAAAAACAAAATTATATTTATGTGTATATAACAGCTATAACACTCATCACACAACTCTATAGGAACAATGTCTTTTCAAAATACCAGGATTTCCAAACTATTTAAAATAAATACAGTAAGAATTCTAGGGGCTGGGTGCAGTGGCTCAAGCCTATAATCCCAGCACTTTGGGAGGCCGAGGTGGGTGGATCACGAGGTCAGGAGATCGAGACCATCCTGGTCAACATGGTGAAACCCCATCTCTACTAAAAATACAAAAAATTAGCTGGGCATGGTGGCGTGTGCCTGTAATCCCGGCTACTCGGGAGGCTGAGGCAGGAGAATTGAGGTGGAGGTTGCAGTGAGCCGAGATCGCACCATTGCACTCCAGCTTGGGTAACCAGAGCGAAACTCCATCTCAAAAAAAAAAAAAAAAAAAAAAAAAAAAAGAATTCTATGCCCACCTTTTTCAAAATAAACCAATAAAATGTATAGTATATATTAGACCTATTAACATATACCTAAGATATGTTAAAAATCACAACTGGATTCTCACAATTCAGTAACAAACATGAAACAGCAAATAAAAATTCCTAGTACAAGAATTTACGAGAACTACCACATAGATATGATATAATAGATTACATAAGCATCATAGATAAAAAGAGTGTTCACTTCAGGAGCACATATAATAACAGATAATAAAAGATTTAGGATAAACAAAATACCTTCTTAAAAATGGAAAGAAAATTATATTTATGTATATGTAACAGCTATAACTGTCATCAAAAATCTCTACAGGAGCAGCATGTCTTCAAAAGTATAAAAATTTCCAATCTGAAATAAATGTACTAATAATTCAATGGCCGACGTTTTCCAAACAAACCAACAAAATGCATAGTATGCATGAAGCTATCTGTTACAATCCTGTGGCACTCATATTTTACAAATAATTCTGTGCCAATCTGAGCACCTGCACTGTGCCTTCAAATGCTCCCGGACTGTGGCAACCAAGTCCATAGGAAGCAGGACCTCCAGGTTCCACCCCAGGGAGGTAGAATTCAGCAATCTAAAAAGGGAGGTGGTGCTGCAGGAAGGGGTGGAACAAGAAACACCGCTGGTTTCTCACTGTCCTCCAAGGATGCCCAGAAGTACCCCCTACCCACCACTCCTAGGAGGGCAGCATAATCACTCTATTCGGCTCCTTCTAGAACAGTCCAGGTTCTTCTAGGTTCTTCCAGATGATCTGCACAAATGGTTCCTCTCTTCCTTCCTGGTGTCTGCCATTAACATTGGAATAAACTTCCTGCTGAAAATCCACATCTTCGGTCCAGTGTTCTGGAAGTGAAAGAGAGGAGGTCACATTTCAAGGAGGCAGTTCTCTAGACAGGAAAGTTACTCACATCCCACTTCAGTTCTAACTAGCAATTGACCAATCCAATTTTATCTCCTGACCTTCATTCTCTACCCTGCTTCTGAACCATCATGTTCAATTGTGATATTCACACTTTGGCGAACCTGACTCCAAATCTCACTTAATACACCCAAGGCCAGCCCCAGCGATCTGCTTCATAGTCAGGACTTTGGGTGGGTCTGCTCAGGGAGTAGAGCACCCTCAGAGAATGTGGCTTTGGACTTCATCACACCTGGGGCCTTTGGTGTAACTTAAGATCTAAACTTGTAACCATGCTAGCTGTGTTTCTAATGTGACATCATCACTAACCACCAATCCAGAAGCCTGATCCGTAATCTCACTTCCTAATGGTTAAGTCTCATGCTGTGTCCTCAACGTGGTTAGCTGCACAAGACATAAACCGAATCTTCATCCTAGACCCACATCGGTAACTCAAGTGCGTCAATCGTAATCAACCTCCTGGAACTCAGTATTTATGAAGATTTTTGATATGGGGTCTCAGACCGGAGTGCAGTGGCAGGATCAGGGCTCCCTGCAGCCCCAACCTCCCAAGCTCCAGAGATCCTCCCTCTTCAGCCTCCTGAGTAGCTGGGAATAGAGATGCCTCCCACATCACCCAGTTAATTTGTGTATTTTTGTGGAAAAGGGATCTCGCCATGTTGCCCAGGTTTGAAGCTGGTTCAAGCAATTGGGTTCCTCAGATTTCCTAAATAGACCATAATATTCTGCCTTGACTCTAGGGGACACAAATGTACCTTCCCTCAGGCTGATGACCTCAGGCCTCCATGGTCCCTGGAGCTCTAGGAAAGGAGGGCGTGGTCTCATACCCACACCCAGTTCTCTGGGTCATAAGCCTGGATCTGGATAAGAAAATGGTCCTTGAGAAGACGGGGACTCCTCAGATGCCCCTCCCTCCCTTCATCCAGCCTCCAATCCACTTGACTCCTCCCCACCTCCTCCACCTCCCCACACCCCACTCACCTTCTCCAACTCCTCTGGGGAAACACAAGCTCTCCAGTGCATGGAACAGAAGAACTGGAACCGAAGCTTCTGGAACAAGGGTCACTGGAAGCGGTTCTTCCCATACAGGAAGTGGAAGATGGCTTGTTTGGGGGCCTCATCAACCTCCTCCACGTCATTGGCCAGGTACCTGGGGGCAGAAATCAGGTTGCTGCTGAGGGACACTGCCAGGAGAGACCTCCGGCTGAGGTCAACTTCCAGAGAGAAGGGCAGGTGACTGTCCTCAGCTCAGGACTACTACCCACCCTGCAGAGAGCCATGCTTTCCTCAGGAGGAACCTGCTGGGCAGGGACCTGCTGAAAGATTTCTCTCACACCTTCAGGATAGAGAGAAACAAAAACCCAACTGGTGGCCAAGAATGGTGGCTTACGCCAGCAATCCCCCCACTTTGGGAGGCCAAGGCAGAAAGATTGCTTGAGGCCAGGAGTTTGAGACAAGTCTGGACAACATAGCAAGACCCTTGTCTCTATTAAAAA